CTCATTACCTGTATTAACTGCACCTGTTGAACTCGTTACCTGTATAAAAGACACCTGTCCACACATTCAATCAAACAGACTCCAACCTCTCCACAATGGCCAAGACCAGAGAGCTGTGTAAGGACATCAGGGATAAAATTGTAGACCTGCACAAGGCTGGGATGGGCTACAGGACAATAGGCAAGCAGCTTGGTGAGAAGGCAACAACTGTTGGCGCAATTATTAGAAAATAGAAGAAGTTCAAGATGACGGTCAATCACCCTCGGTCTGGGGCTCCATGCAAGATCTCACCTCGTGGGGCATCAATGATCATGTGGAAGGTGAGGGATCAGCCCAGAACTACACGGCAGGACCTGGTCAATGACCTGAAGAGAGCTGGGACCACAGCCTCAAAGAAAACCATTAGTAACACACTACGCCGTCATGGATTCAAATCCTGCAGCGCACGCAAGGTCCCCCTGCTCAAGCCAGCGCATGTCAAGGCCCGTCTGAAGTTTGCCAATGACCATCTGGATGATCCAGAGGAGGAATGGGAGAAGGTCATGTGGTCTGATGAGACAAAAATAGAGCTTTTTGGTCTAAACTCCACTCGCCGTGTTTGGAGGAAGAAGAAGGATGAGTATAACCCCAAGAACACCATCCCAACCGTGAAGCATGGAGGTGGAAACATCATTCTTTGGGGATGGTTTTCTGCAAAGGGGACAGGACGACTGCACCGTATTGAGGGGAAGATGGATGGGGCCATGTATCGCAAGATCTTGGCCAACAACCTCCTTCCCTCAGTAAGAGCATTGAAGATGGGTCGTGGCTGGGTCTTCCAGCATGACAACGACCCGAAACACACAGCCAGGGAAACTAAGGAGTGGCTCCATAAGAAGCATCTCAAGGTCCTGGAGTGGCCTAGCCAGTCTCCAGACCTGAACCCAATAGAAAATCTTTGGAGGGAGCTGAAAGTCTGTATTGCCCAGCGACAGCCCCGAAACCTGAAGGATCTGGAGAAGATCTGTATGGAGGAGTGGGCCAAAATCCCTGCTCCAGTGTGTGCAAACCTGGTCAAGACCTACAGGAAACGTATGATCTCTGTAATTGCAAACAAAGGTTTCTGTACCAAATATTAAGTTCTGCTTTTCTGATGTATCAAATACTTTTGTCATGCAATAAAATGCAAATTAATTACTTAAAAATCATACAATGTGATTTTCTGGATTTTTGTTTTAGATTCCGTCTCTCACAGTTGAAGTGTACCTATGATAAAAATTACAGACCTCTACATGCTTTGTAAGTAGGAAAACCTGCAAAATCGGCAGTGTATCAAATACTTGTTCTCCCCACTGTATGTGCATACATTTTTACGTATGGGTGGTCCCGGGGATCGAACCCACTACCCTGGCGTTACAAGCGCCATGCTCTACCAATTGAGCTACAGAGGACCACAAGCTGACGTATTGAATTATCCATGTGGTCTATATTAAAAGACAAGCAGCTGCTTGCTTAATTTAATATAACAGGCTTTTAAAATGAAATATTGGTGAACTATGTCTACTTAAAATATCAAAGGGACGTGTAAGGCTCTCTTTTGGTGGAATTACCCAGCATGCATATGTAAGGGTTATGAATTTGAGCCACATCTCAAACTAAGTATCTAAAGTATTCTTTATCATTCAGTCTATATGAAGTATACATTAACTTTCATAAGCCAATCACTCGCGCCTCATACAGAGACTGTCCAATAGGAATCCTTCACTCACACTGATGATGGAGAGGTAAAATAAACGACACTGACCTCTTATTGGTTAGATCAGATTCCTCTCTTTGATGAGCTTCCTCCTCATCACTCACACTGACGCTATGATGGACCCACACCAGGTGATATGATGGACCCACACCAGGTGATATGATGGACCCACACCAGGTGATATGAGGGGCCCACACCAGGCGATATGATGGACCCACACCAGGCGATATGATGGACCCACACCAGGCGATATGATGGACCCACACCAGGCGATATGATGGACCCACACCAGGCGATATGATGGACCCACACCAGGCGATATGATGGACCCACACCAGGCGATATGATGGACCCACACCAGGTGATATGATGGGCCCACACCAGGCGATATGATGGACCCACACCAGGCGATATGATGGACCCACACCAGGCGATATGATGGACCCACACCAGGTGATATGATGGGCCCACACCAGGCGATATGATGGACCCACACCAGGCGATATGATGGACCCACACCAGGTGATATGATGGACCCACACCAGTCGATATGATGGACCCACACCAGGCGATATGATGGGCCCACACCAGGCGATATGATGGACCCACACCAGGCGATATGATGGGCCCACACCAGGCGATATGATGGACCCACACCAGGCGATTAGATGGGCCAACCCTCAGAGCTCTGTGACACTATAATGATGGACCCATGCCAGGTGTGGGGAACTCTACACTCGGAGCTGTGTCTGTCTGTCTGTCTGTCTGTCTCTCTGTCTGAAGAGAAAAACCAGTCATATTACAACAGACCTGTTAAATCATTTCAATGCCAAGACTGATCAAACACTGGAATCTGACTGCAATGGGATCAAGGACCTCATTGTTGTGTCTGTCTGTCTGTCTGGTTCTATGTGCGTGCAATGATGTCCGAGGGAAAACAACATTGTTTGTTGTTTGTTGTTGTAATATCGCAAACAGATGTGGCTCTTTCACCATTAAGGATTCCAGCTTTAAACTTTCTTGAGCCCCTCTCTCCACACACACACACACACACACACACACACACACACACACACACACACACACAAACACACACACACACACACACAGACACACACACACACACACACAGACACACACACAGACACATACACACACACAGACACACACACACAGACACACACACACACAGACACACACACACAGACAGACACACACACACACAGACACACACACACACACACACACACACAGACACACACACACACACACCACACACAGACAGACAGACACACACACACACACACACACACACACACACACACACAGACACACACACACACACACACACACACACACACACACACAACACACACACACACCACACAACACACACACACACACACAACACAACACACACACACACACACACACCACACACACACACACACACACACGTACACACAACACACACACAACAACAACAGACACACACACACACACAACACCACACACACACACACAACACACTAGACAGACAGCACCATCACACAAACAACACACACAACACACCACACACAAATCACCACCCAAAACACACTGACAGAAACACCTACCTAAAGTCACATACTTAAGACAGACACGGCACCCAACACCATTCCCTATATAGTGCACTACTTAGACCAAGAGAATGCACACCATTCCACTAATAGCACACTACAACCAGAAAGCCATTTTATTAGTGAAACTATTAAGCCAAAATGCAACCATTCCCTATATATGCACTACTTTAGACCAAGAATGGCACCCATTCCCTATATAGTGCACTACTTTAGACCAAGAATGGCACCCTATTCCCTATATAGTGCACTACTTTAGACCAGAGAATGGCACCCTATTCCCTATATAGTACACTACTTTAGACCAGAGAATGGCACCCTATTCCCTATATAGTGCACTACTTTAGACCAGAGAATGGCACCCTATTCCCTATATAGTGCACTACTTTAGACCAGAGAATGGCACCCTATTCCCTATATAGTACACTACTTTAGACCAGAGAATGGCACCCTATTCCCTATATAGTGCACTACTTTAGACCAGAGAATGGCACCCTATTCCCTATATAGTGCACTACTTTAGACCAGAGAATGGCACCCTATTCCCTATATAGTGCACTACTTTAGACCAGAGAATGGCACCCTATTCCCTATATAGTGCACTACTTTAGACCAGAGAATGGCACCCTATTCCCTATATAGTGCACTACTTTAGACCAGAGAATGGCACCCTATTCCCTATATAGTGCACTACTTTAGACCAGAGAATGGCACCTATCCCTATATAGTACACTACTTTAGACCAGAATGGCACCCTATTCCCTATATAGTACACTACTTTAGACCAGAGAATGGCACCCTATTCCCTATATAGTGCACTACTTTAGACCAGAGAATGGCACCCTATTCCCTATATAGTGCACTACTTTAGACCAGAGAATGGCACCCTATTCCCTATATAGTGCACTACTTTAGACCAGAGAATGGCACCCTATTCCCTATATAGTGCACTACTTTAGACCAGAGAATGGCACCCTATTCCCTATATAGTGCACTACTTTAGACCAGAGAATGGCACCTGCAGTAAGCTTACACAGCATGTATCTATAGCTAGTTAACAACACCTGCAGTAAGATACACAGTACTGTTATAACCTAGTAGGAATAATAATAATAATAATAATAATAATAATAATAATAATAATAATAATAATAATAATAATAATAATAATAAATGCTATATTTGACTATTAAACTTTTAATTCAATTTTGAAGTTATCGAAATGTCCTAATTACTTATTTTAATGCAAGTGGAAATAAGACTATCAAGAAGACAGGCCTTCCCTGCAGTAACATGGAATCCATTTGGAAATGACTTGATTAATTTAGAATATCTCCATATTGTAGTGGATTTTATTTGTTTGACATGTTTACTGTATTTTTCTGGAAAGTAGCACGTTGTTCATACAGGTCCCCTCCATCCCTCCACTCCCCTTCCCTCGCGGTCACGCCCCCGCCCACAGAGATAAATGGTCAGTCCTGTGAGCGACTGCTTACCGTTTCCTCCACCGCTCCGGTTCATGACCAGCCTGTTGAGTCTCGAGGAGGAGGACACGCCGTCGAGGTCGCTCACCCCAGTCTCCGGCAGTCTTAGTCCGTTCCGTGCCACACTCTGCTGAGGCTACGCGCCCCAACCGAAAACCGACCATGTCCACCGGGTCGCTTAGTGACTTCGACGACGAGGTCCTGGACGGCATCCTGAAGTTCGGCTCTTCCGGTAAAGACTCCGGTACATCGAACGAGAGCACAGAGGAGAGCTCGAACTGCGAAGGCGGCTCGGCCAACGATAAAGCTGCTCCGGCAAAGAAACGGAAAAAAGCGTACGGTAGGAAGAAGGCGCCGAACAGCGCGGTGCACGAGAGTGGCGGCAAACCTGTGCAGAGGAACGCAGCCAACGCAAGAGAGAGAGCGAGGATGCGCGTGCTGTCGAAAGCGTTCTCCCGGTTGAAAATGACATTACCGTGGGTCCCACCGGACACCAAGCTCTCCAAACTGGACACGCTGCGCCTTGCCTCGAGCTACATCGCCCATCTACGGCAGATCCTTGTCAACGACAAATACGAGAACGGATATAAACACCCCGTCAAGCTGGTGAGAAACACACCTCAGCATTTCAAATACATTTTACAAAGCCGTTTTTTTTTTATATAAGTCCTTTTTACGTCACCAGTTGTCACAAAGTGCTTTACAGATACCCGGCCTACTCCAAAGAGCAAGCAAAGCATGCGCAAATTTAGCACAGTGGCTAGAAGAAAAAACCCCGAGCCTTAGAATAAAAGAAAACACTTCACCTAGCTTGATAGGCCTAAAATTAAAAGTGATCCGAGTTTTCGTCATCAATTAAACACGTGACATGAGCTGAAGTTTGTGAAAGAGTGTTTCTGACGGTCACTTTGAGGTTGGTTGGACAGGTTTGGATGGGGCTATTTTAATAGGCTTAGGTCTACTGAGGGTGCAAAAGGCTACGTAACATTTGATTGTTTACTCAATATTGTCTGGACTATATAATTCACACAATAATTGACAAAAAACATTCCACAGTATCGTTTCACAACAGAGCCTGTCCAAACAGAAACAACTGGTATCTTTTGGAGAATTCTATGTTATTTCCTCTGTAGCTCAGCTGGTAGAGCACGGCGCTTGTAACGCCAAGGTAGTGGGTTCGATCCCCGGGACCACCCATACACAAAAAAATAAAATGTATGCACGCATGACTGTAAGTCGCTTTGGATAAAAGCGTCTGCTAAATGGCATATTATTATTATTATTATTATTATTTAGCGCCTAGCCTATTTAATTTAGCCTATTCAGTTTAGCCTATTCAGTTTAGCCTATTTATATTTAGCCTATTTATATTTAGCCTATTCATGTTCAGGCTATGTAGAGTAAAATATAGGCTATCCATTTTATTTAGATATTCAAGTATCATTATGATGTTTAGAAATAGTATGCTGCTTGAAAGTTGTCTATAAAAAAGTGGTAGCCCCAATATTTCGCCTTTAAACTCATGAGATTATAACTGCCCTCATTGTATTTCTATTAGACTAAAGTTACATTTACATCATTTAGCAGACGCTCTTATCCAGAGCGATTTACAGGAGCAATTAGGGTTAAATGCCTTGCTTAAGGGCACATCGACAGATTTTTCACCTAGTCGGCTCGGGGATTAGAACCAGCGATCTTCCGGTTACTGGCACAACGCTCTTACCCACTAAGCTACCTGCCGCGGTCTTTAAGATGGTCCTCATGTTAATAGTCATACTGTTGTTATAATTTAATTGATTTCGTCCATAAATTATCATTGTTTTTATACTGGGCCTTCATATAATATTACTGTTATTATAATATTGTTGTTCTGTGTTTTCATAGATATGCTTTGTTAGCCTAATAGTGTTGTTCTATTGCGTAGTGAGCTGATTAGTGATTTCCTGTCCCTCTCTCTCTCCAGACATGGCCCTTCATGGTCGCCGGTAAACCTGACAACGATTTGAAACAGATGCTCAACACCACCCGGTTGTGTGGAACAACTGCCTCGTGATGGAACGGACATGACATGGCCATTAACGTTTTCGTTACCGGGAACGGACTTTTTCAGATGGACAGACATGCACGTCATCTCTCCTAAACCAAATATTGAGTGGGGATAACCGGGAGAGCGCGCACTCTCTTGCGCGTTCCCCTACATAGATTTTATACGCCTATTTAAATTGTTCACATGTTGTCTTTGCTGGTTCGAGGACAGGTTGTGCTAAAGTTTTGTATTCGTTTTTTATACTCTTAAAATGCTTTATATAACATGTTGTCACACAAGTATTTTTATTTTTTACAGTGACGTTGTCAGTCACTGCTTTGGAAGCGCAAGTGAAAACGTGTCGATTAATTGAGTAGACAGATTTTATGTAGGCCTAAATAAAATATATTCATATTATCGTATAATTTTCTCACACGGTGTGTGTTGGACTACTAAGAATTACAATTCTACAGGATACATTTTGTTGTTACTGTAGGCTATAGGCTATTCTCCCTCTGATCAAACTGACCCCTGGTTATCTCGACCGTTCTCTCAAAATCACGGCGCAAAACTCTAGGAGCAACAAAGAGGAACGGAGAGAATATAATCGGGCGGGTAGAGGGAACCTATTATTTATTTATTTGTTTATCTCCAAAAGTAAATAATGGATACTTTCTCGAAATGCTTGACATTAGATAAACAAACTGCTATCAATTCGAATAAATTATCATTTGGTAACGAAAAGTTTTTTAAAATTTTTATTTAAAACAAATCTTCGTTTTGACGTTAATGGATGGCCTTAGAAGAGGAATGTCGGTTGGAAATTCATTGTTTAACAGCGGTTTTGGTAAATGGCGCACGGCGCTTAATCCCGCTCCAGACGCCTTGTTTAATTCACGCGGGTTATGACCGCACTGTTTACACACGGCAGACATATATTTATGCAGCTGGCTTTGGAGAAAGGGAGAGAGGCAAGCTATCTCCGGGCTGGGACAGCCAATGTCACTGTGCAACACACACACACACACACACACACACACACAAACTGTCCTGAGCTGCAAACTCGTTGTCCATCAGATAATTCATGCCTGTGTTGGGGAGAGAGCACAGCAGAGGAGAGGAGAGAGGAGTGCAGCGCGGACCTTGGTGTAATAACAAGCGCCTGCATCCATCCATTAGTGTCGTGTTATTGTAGCGATCCACTGGCGGGATGACCCTCACACAGCCCCGCTGGGACTGTAAAAAAAAAAAAATGTAAATGTACATGAGTTTAGACTAAGGAGAGGAGACGTGGGCTACATCAATTGACTGTACTGATCACAGAGAAGGGGAATAAAGTAATAATTTAGTTCATTCGTTTTAATAAATAGGCTTATGTGTGAAGTCGTTGCATACTAGAACAGAAACAGTGTTCGTTTGTGGTTTTATCCATGAAACATGATTGAGTTTTTCCTGTAAAATGGGCGGGTGCACATCCCTATAACAAAACAAAAATCAATAAGACAGATGTATTCTGTATCATACACACATTATAGACTATACGGAAGAGGCTACTAACACAGAATCGGTTCGTCAAATATTCATGCTTTTATGTGGCCCATTAAAATAGGTAAGTATTTTCGGTGATTTTTCATTTATTTGTTTCAATTTAGTTAGGCTATCTATCAAATTATTTTAGAGAGTATAATTGTTATTGGATACATTTCGAATTGGGTATTTTCTCACTGTTTTGAAAACAGATGAGTAAACATAGGATAATTGTTTACAGAATAATCCACGTAAACTACTGAATTTGGCAGCTCGGTGGCCAGTACAATTCTGTATTTCACATTACAGTTTAGATTACACCTACTGTAATCTTAACTACAGTATCAAAGAAAGTACTGTGTAATGACACACAGTACAATACCATAAAAAGTACTGTATTATACTGAAGAAAGTAAACATTACCCTAATCGGAATGAATTAATGAATGGATGACTGAATGAATGAACTAAATTCATTGAGAGGAGGGGTTTGTATTTCACAGGGACTGGTGCAAGCAGGTTGGCTGCTAGGTGAAGTGGTCAAATAACTTGCTCTTCTAGAGGCCTTAACAAACGCTTCCAAACTGGCAGTGACTACAGGGCAAAACAGACCAAAAGGACATGCTGCCACTCCAATCTGTCCTCTATACATGTTACATTAATGGGGCACTATAATCACATAGGAGTTAAATTGGTACAGCATTCTCACTCACATGTTCAACAAATATAGACTCTTACAGGGCATGCCACAAAATATGTTAATGAGCCAGAAACAACAATATCATGCACCCACTAGTGGTCAAAAGGTTTTTGGCGCTCCAAAGATACGGTAGGGTACTGTATTCTGTTGGGGTTGAATTACGGTACCATTCAGAAATACAGCAATTCTTTACCCGCCCACAACATTTCCCCACAATGCACCATACTTTACTGCAGTAAAATGTTTGAGTAATGTACTGTTGATAATACCCCAAATTACTGTATAACCTAAATTACAGTTTTCCGTTACAGTGTAGTGGAAAGGAGCTCAGCTTTAGGGTTGCTAGATTCCCAAAGCTCAGGCATTGATGGCCTATTTAGCCAAATAATATTTCATTAGAAAATCTCTAAACATTTCACTATGAACCGGCTTATCAAGTGAGTCAATAAATTGAAATAATAATGGTTATAGCAGCAAAGGGGGGGAACCAACTCCATATTAATGCCTATGATTTTGGAATGAGATGTTGGACGAGCAGGTGTCCACGTATGTTTGTTCATGTAGTGTACATTAGACTATTGAGATGCGCCCCGGCATGGTGCAGTAGATGGTATTTTCAACGGAGCGTCTTGTCGGCAGCCATCTTGCGCGGGCCTCAGCCAGTGTTTGGATAGGGGATGACCTACTGTAAGCAGTGTGGAGTGGAACCTTCCTCTCTCTCTCTCTCTTTATTTATCTCTCTCGCGCTCTAGCGCTCTCTCCAAGAAGATTCACAGTTTCCCTTAGAAATTTGACGTGTTATGGGTTACAAGGTTAATTCCGAGTGGTTACAGGGTTAGAACAGAAACAACTCAAAGGGTTACTTTGAGTGATTAAGGTTAGGACTATGGTTTGGGAAAGGCTTCATCTTTGCTATGAACGTGAAGTATCATGAAGTATTCTCACGGCTTGCTAGAGCGTGAACGGCGGTGACGCAGTGGTCTGAGCGGCGCGCTCTGGCTCCGAGCATCTCTCTCTCTCTCTCTCTCTCTCTCTCTCTCTCCCTCTGTTGCGTTCTCTCTCTCTCTCTCTCTCTCTCTCTCTCTCTCTCTCTCTCTCTCTCTCTCTCCCTCTGACCCAACACATCAGCGGCGCTGTGGCACCCCCTCTCGCCCGTCCCCCTCTCCCCTGCCCTTCCCTCTCATCTCACGGTCACCCCTTAAGGGACCAGACCACCGGGTAGAAAATAAACTTGGCGGTCTGAGAGAGAGATGGAGGGAGTGGGGTATAGGGAGGAGAGGGGGATGAGGGAGAGAGGAGGAGGAGGAGGAGGGAGAGAGGAGGAGGAGGGAGGTCATTAGTGAGATAACGGGGGCCAGGGTTCGGGATTCCCATGCGCTGAGAGATGAGCAGGCTGCTCTGGCTAATTGTTTTGTTGGACCACTGCCCAAACTGGTTGGGGAAAAAAGAGAAGGAAAAATCTCATTTCATTTGAGATGTTCCGCGCCTGTATGGTCGGTCGCTCGTAGGCCTACCCTCGTTTCTCCTCCTCCTCCTCCTCCTCCTCCTCCTCCTCCTCCTCCTCCTCTCTCCCCTTTTCTCTCTCTGTATCTCGCGCTCTCTTTTGTGAGAACTTGTGTGAGAATATTTGAGAGAGAGACACAGAATCATCCCATATTTATATATATATCCTGTAGAGTCCTAATTCAGTAGAAATTCAGCAATTTCAATTTTCGATCAGCGAACATCACCTTTTTTATAATGCTAAACAGCGGCGGGATGGGGCTGTGTAAATGTAACATGGACTGACCATCCATGATATCAAATGATAGTTTTAACCATGTTCTGAAGCTATACAGTGTTTGTTTACATTTACGTTGTTTACAAACAATGGAGTAAAAACAGCTTATCTTTTGGGTTCTGACGGGGAACGACCGTTGAACTGAGCTCATGAGGCATTTGTTAATTATATTCTTCAAGAATCATTCATTTAAAAGTCCAAAAACTGGATGTACCGATAGCAGATGGCCCCTTTTAGAAATAGATTTCCTTCTGATTCAGATCAATCCTCTCAGATGTAGACAAGTGTGTAGGCCAGGGTTCTTCAATTCCGGTACTGGAGGGCCGAAACACTTCTGTTTTTTATTTCTACCTGGTAGTTCATTGCACTCACCTGGTGTCCCAGGTCTGAATTAGCCCCTGATTAGAAGGAGAGGATGAAAAACAGAGGTGTTTCGGCCCTCCAGGACCGGAATTGAAGACCTGGTGTAGGCCATAGGGAAAGCTTGTTTCTGGATGGGGCCTCGCTTTCACCATAAAACAGTGTTCTGCCTAAGAGTGCCTCCTGCTGGTAGACAGTATGGTGAATATGAACTGGGAATGTCATTACATTTACATTTTTGTCATTTAGCAGACGCTCTTATCCAGAGCGACTTACAGGAGCAATTAGGGTTAAGTGCCTTGCTCAAGGGCACATCGACAGATTTTTCACCTAGTCGGCTCGGGGATTAGAACCAGCGACCTTTCGGTTACTGGCACAACGCTCTTAACGCTCTTAACCACTAAGCTACCTGCCGCCCTATCATCACACCTGTCACTATTCAACCAGAAGAGAGCGCTAGAGCACCACCCACCTCCTACATGCTACTGAACACTCAGGATTCACATGTTCACTGAGAGGAGTGAGGAGTGCTTGCAATGATTAACCTGACCGTTAGGTGGCAGTGTTGCCAGAGATGACAATCTCTCCCAGTTTAGGCTCTGTCCTCCAGGTAGGTTACCTATGGAGACAGGAGGTAGGTTACCTATGGAGACAGGGATAGGTTACCTATGGAGACAAGAGGTAGGTTACCTATGGAGACAGGAGGTAGGTTACCTATGGAGACAGGAGGTAGGTTACCTATGGAGACAGGAGGTAGGTTACCTATGGAGACAGGGGTAGGTTACCTATGGAGACAGGAATAGGTTACCTATGGAGACGGGTAGGTTACCTATGGAGACAGGAGGTAGGTTACCTATGGAGACAGGAGGTAAGTTACCTATGGAGACAGGGGTAGGTTACCTATGGAGACAAGAGGTAGGTTACCTATGGAGACAGGAGGTAGGTTACCTATGGAGACATGAGGTAGGTTACCTATGGAGACAGGAGGTAGGTTACCTATGGAGACAGGGGTAGGTTACCTATGGAGACAGGAATAGGTTACCTATG